GTCGTCCTCCAACCACCAATCATCTGACAATGCCCTGCTTGTGGAAGACTCTGTTACACCAGTGCATATTAACTCAAATCTGAATATTGGGGCTTCAGTCGTACCTGCTTCTCACTCTACAAGCTCTTCTGGCTTTTCTAGGTCATCCAGTCAAAGTAGGCTGACTGGTGGACAATCTTCATTTAATACTAGGTTATCCGGTAATGCTCAAAGTCAGGCTACAGTTTCTTCAAACACTGGTAGTTCACATGTGGAGCACAAGGAAAACACAGGGCAGTCCAGTAACTCGAGAGATTTCACTCACTTATCAGTTAACTCTGACCTCACTGAACCTATTATACCACCAGGATCACAAGTACTTTCTACTGTATCTATAAATCGCCAAAATGCACTTATCCAGAAATTGGAAAAAGATCAGGAATCATCGATAAAGGATACAGACTCTGCCACACAGGGCCATGCAGGAGCACAACAGTCAAATACAGCATCATTTTCTCACTCCAACATTAACAATAGACGAACATCTACTTCAGGCAATTTTGCTTCTACTTCTGTGACTTCTAATAATCAGGGGTCTAGTCCTGTATCAAGCAACACTCAAAATGTATCTCCAAACTTCAGGCCATTAACAGTAAAGGGGACACAAAATACAAATTCAGCCAGTCTTATCAATACACAAAGACAAACTACTCGAGTGAGGACAGAGCAAGGTAGTGCTGGACTCTCAACTTCCCTCACAATCCCAGGGTTCTCATCTGGAATTGTCAGGGTTGATGGAGAAACCGTAGCCAACAGTGGTTCAGATGCTGCTCATGCTGACCAAAATTTGGATGATATTGATATCTCAACTGAGGATTATGAAACTGAAGATGAATACATTACTACTGAAACCCCTTCATTGGCATCAGGAAACTTTGCAAATTCTGCATTTGGTTTAGCTTTCACCAAGGGATCTACAGGTTCAGGATTACGTGGGTCATCCTTAACTGTAAACAGTCAAAGAAATAATGCAGCTGGTTTTGGCTCATCCTCCAGCTTCCAAGGGGCTTCTAATGTGCAAGGCTCTAGTGCAGGAACTATATCTTCGAGTGTATCTGGTAACCAGGGGTCTAGGGTAAATACAGGGTTCAGTGGTACAACTGTGTCTGGCACACAGGGATCTGTTAGAACTTCTGTATCTAACACTCAAGGATCTAGAGTAACTAACTCTCAAGGACCTAGGGGAACAGTGAGATTTAGTGGTGTATCAACATCAAATGCACAAGGATCTAGGGGAACTTCAACATTTAGTGGAGCATCTGCTGGCACTCTGGGATCTACCAGTTCATCAGGATCTAGTGGAGTAACTGCTTCTAACACCCAAGCATCAAGAGGAACAGGATTTGGTGCAACATCTGTATCAAGTGCTCAGGGAGCCATTAGAACTACTGTATCCAATGTACAAGGATCTCGAGGAGCATCTTCTGGAACTGCAACCAATATCCGAGGATCTCAAGGAACAGCAGGATTCAATGGAGCATCTGTTTCTGGCACACAAGCTTCTAGGGGAACAGCAGGAGCCAGTGGAGCATTTGTATCAGCTGCACAGGGATCTGCAGGAACTTCGGTAACCAGTGCCCAAGGATCTTCAGGAACATCCACAACCAGCTTCCAAGGATCTAGAGGAACAGTAGGATTCAATGGAGTATCTGGATCTAATACCCAAGGATCTAGAGGAACAGTAGGATTCAATGGAGTATCTGGATCTAATACCCAAGGATCAAGAGGAACAGTAGGGAGGATTCAATGGAGTATCTGGATCTAATACCCAAGGATCAAGAGGAACAGTAGGATTCAATGGAGTATCTGGTTCTAATACCCAAGGATCTAGAGGAACAGGATTTGTTAGTGGATCAACATCTAGCACACTAGGATCTACCAGCTCATCAGGATTTAGTGGAGTATCTGCATCTAACACCCAGGCATCAGGGGGAACAGGAGGATCCACTGGAGCATCTGTGTCTAATGCACAGGGAGCTGTTAGAACTACTGTATCCAATATACAGGGATCTCGGGAAGCATCCACTGGAACAACCACAACCAATATCCAAGGGTCCCGAGGAACAGCAGAATTCAGTGGTGCATCTGTATCTAACATTCAAGGATCACAAGTGGGTGGAGTATCTGTTTCCGGCACACAGGCATCTAGGGGAACAGCAGGAGCCAGTGGAGCATTCGTATCAACCAAACAGGAATCTAGCAGAACTTCAGTAGCCAATGCCCAAGGATCTTCAGGGGCAGTAGGATTAAATGGTGTATCAGAATCTAATGTGCAAGGATCTAGAGGAACTGCAGGATTTAGTGGGGCATCAGCATCTGGCACACTGGGATCTACCAGTTTATCCTCAAACGCTCAGGCTTCTAGGGGAACAGTGGGTTCCAGTGGAGCCTCTGTGTCTGATGCACAGGGAGCTGTTAAAATAACTGCCTCAAATGTACAAGGAACAAGGGGAACATCTGGAACAGCTGCAAACAGCTTCCAAGGATCCCAAAAAACAGGAAGCTTTAACAGGGTATCCATATCTAACACCCAAGGTTCTAGCGTAACTGCAGGATCAAACGGAGCATCTGCATCTAGCACTCTGGGATCTAACAGCTTTTCAGGGATAAGTAGAGGATCTACATCTAACACTCAAGCATCTAGGGGAACAACGGGAGCCAGTGGAGCATCTTTGTCTAGTACACAGGGATCTATTAGAACTGTATCAAATGCACAAGGATCTACAGGGGCATCCACCAGCTTCCAAGGATCTAGAGGAACTGCTGGCTTCAATGGAGCATTCACATCCAACACCCAAGGAACTAGAGGAACTACAGGATTTAGTGGAGCATCTGTCTCTGGCACATCAGGATCTACCAGTTCATCAAACCTGAGTGCGGGATCCAGAGGAGCTTCTGTGTCTAATGCACAGGGAGCTATCAGAACTACAGCATCTAATGTACAAGGATCCAGGGGAACTGCAGGGTTTAGTGGAGCCTCTACATCTGGCTCACTAGGATCTACTGGTTCCTCAGGAATAAGGGGAGCATCTTTTGTTAGCACTCAGGCATCCAGGGGAACAGTAGGAATTACAGGAACAACTGTTAACATACAAGGATCTAGAGGAACCTCTACATTCAGTGGAGCCTCCATATTGAACACTCAGGGTTCCAGAGGAACTGCATCTGCATCTGATGCACAAGGAAATGGAGTTTCTGCTTCTAATGCCCAACTATCTAGGGGAACAGCAGGAGTTAGTGGAGTATCTGTATCTAATACACAAGGATCTAGCGGGGTATCCACCGGTTCATCTACAGTCAACTTGCAAGCAACCAATACCCAGGGAACATCACGTGTTAATGGCATACTTGTGTCAAATACACAAGGGTCAGAGGCAAATTCTCAAAGTAATCAAGGGGTTCAAGTTTCTAGTAATGCAGCAGTATCAACTACCACATTTGGATCAAGGGGCTCACCTAATATAGGTGTTGCTTCTCAGTCAATAAATAAGAATGCAGGATCACGGGTAACAACTCTATTAGTAAGCAATGAAGGAGAAAAGTCTTCCTCAAAGCTCAGAAGTTCCACAGAAAGTCAAGGATTGACAAGCTCAACTGCTCAACACCAATCTGAATCACAAGGGTCTGGAGCTGGGTCAGGAGTGCATGGATCAACATCTTCAGGAACTAGGGGCTCTATAGCTTCTGAAGTACATGGCTCAGTTGCCACAGTTCAAGGGTCAGTATCTACAGGCATCCAGGGGTCAGTTGCAGGATCACAGGGGTCAGTATTGGTAAGAGGCCATGGGTCAACCAACTCTGATGTCCATGAGTCGAGCTCCTCAGCAGTTCATGGATCTGCTTCATCAAGTCGTCAAGAGTCAGCATCGAGTGTCGTCAGCTTCTTCAGGTCCGTGGGTCAGCTTCTTCAGGTGTCCGTGGCTCAGCTTCTTCATGTCAGCTTCTTCAGGTGTCCGTGGGTCAGTCAGTCAGCTTCTTTAGATGTCCGTGGGTCAGCTTCTTCAGGTGTCCGTGGATCAGCTTCTTCAGGTGTCCGTGGGTCAGCTTCTTCAGGTGTCCGTGGGTCGGCTTCTTCAGGTGTCCGTGGGTCGGCTTCTTCAGGTGTCCGTGGGTCAGCTTCTTCAGGTGCTCAAGGGACAGGATCTTCAAGTGGAACAGCATCCTTCTCTGCATCGGGAGCAAGAGGATCCGAGTTGTCTGGTGTACGAGGTACTCAGTCATCATCCACTGTTTCAAATAGTCAAGGATCCAGATCATCCTCACATGTTACTAGGAACAGAGGAAAGAAGAAGTTCCAACCTAGCACCTACCTCTTGCAGGGATCCTTGTGGAACACTGGAAATACTCAAACCTCTGTCAGGCAAAGCTCGGCTGCTTCTATTCCAAGGGGAAATCGCAGGTTTCGTACATCAAGTGGACGCCACAGTTCTTCATCAGGGAACAGGATTTCTGTAAACAATGAAGTAAGCAAGGTAGAATCTGTAAAGGACTCATCAGTAAGTTCCTCATCCTTTGGCACTCAGACTTCTAGGGGAACAGTAGGATCCAGTGGAGTATCTGTGTCTGGTGCACAGGGAGCTGTTAGAACAAACCCTCAGAGTTCTAGGATATCTTCAAACTTAGCAAGTAACACAAGATCACAATCAAGCACCCAGATTTCAAATGGCTCCATCAGGTCTAGTGTTTCAACAAGTTCTGCTAACTTGCAGAGCTCTACAACCCCACATACTGTTGTGGATGCACTAGCAACTGGCCAGAGATTTCGTGGATCATCACTATCCCAAGGTACATCAAGTTTAGTAACAAACACCCGGAATTCTGGATCATCAAGGAATCAGCTATCTTCAAATTCATTTACAGTGCATGGATCAACTCAAGTACAAAACAGCCGAATTCCAAACACTGTTGCTGTTGATATAGAGAAAAACCAAGCCTCTTCTCAAGGTGATGAAATTAGTGAGATTGATTTGGTAACTACTACTGAGAACTATGACTATGAAGTCAGTACAGAATATGAACTGGCAACTGAATCAATTTTTGAGGATTATGAAACTGAGAGTACAGAGGCCCCAGTACAGACTGTATCCACTAATTCTCGTAGGAACCAGGCAAGAGCCTTTGGTTCCCGCGGTAACTTCTTTTCAAGTAATTCTTTAAACTCTGCCCGCAACACTAGGCCCTCAATAAGGAACCAAGTCACACCAGCACCTGTTGTGAAGCAGGCTACTTCTACTGAGGCTTCCATAACAAATTCTCAGGTATCAAAACCAACAACACCAACCTTTAATACCAGAACTTCTCCTTTGAGTGGCCCAAGAATAACAACAACAGCACCTCTGATAAATAACTCATTCAGAAGAACCTCAAGCCGTCAACGTTTAACCAGTAGGAATAATTTAGCTACTAATTCTCAAACTGCTACAGAATCAGAGGCCAGTGTTCAAGAAAACAGTGAAGAGTCTTTTGATGGCCTTCGAGTGTTTGAAGTTTCTGAAGGAAGCCAAAATTCACAAAATTCACAAGTGAATGGAAGAACAGTGATCAAAAAGAAGATTATCATTAATGGCAGACCAGGATCACGAAGAACTAAAACAAATAACCAGGCAAGTGTAAGTGCTCAACAGGAAACAACAGACACTGCTTTTGAAAATAATCAGTCTTCTAACAACAGGGAAACGCTTAGAGCTTCATCTGTCTCCAATGCCCAGACAAGGAGTCAGAGTGCTAGAGTTTCCTCCGGATCTAGCAGGCTATCAGGAAGGCAAGGATCAAGGTCATCAGTAAGGCAAGGATCAAGGTCACGGGGATCATCCCGTGCAAGCTCTGTTTCCAATCAAGAATCAACATCAACTTCTGACAGCCAAACAGAGGAAGAAAAGAAACGCATTCGGGCATTAGAAGCTCTTAATAAATTTAACCCTGGGCTTGGGAATTCACAGTTGTTGTCGGTAAGGTTTATCCCAAATAAAAAAGCGGAAACAACCAAAACAACTAGTAATGACAGTGGATCACGTGGTTCAACAAGATTTACCTCACGTCGTCGTGGACCAGCAGCACCATCTACTAGTCAGGAAGCCGTCACAACAACATCAGCACCAAGCCCACAAGAGGCTACTCTGGATTCAGAAAGTGACGCAAAAAGGCAAAGGGCTCTAGCAGCATTACGTAATTTTAATCCAGGCGCCGGCAATGCTAAGCTACTATCTGTAAAGTTTATTCCAAATACAAATAAAAATGGTCAAGACAAAGCATCTACTAACCAACAATCAAGTGTCCGTAGCTCCTCCAGATCTTTTGAGAGTCGCAGCCGAGGTAATTCCAGGCTATCCAATACCATTACAACCACAACGACTCCTCAGCCCCTCACAACGACTACTGCTCCCCTTCGAAGACTCACAACAAACAACAGAAGAGTTGTTGTCCGTAAGAGGGTCGAAAATCAGGAAAGAGACAGTTCTGCCTCTGAGGATTCCAACGACTCCACAACACTTTCCACATCTTTGAACAACAGAAGAAGAGGTAGTACGAGATTCAGGAATTCAGGCAATTCCCGCAGACGGGTTATCACAAGAGTTACCCCCGTTTCTGATAGGGGCCAACAGGCTGAAGATGAAAACGCCAGCTCTCAGGAAAGAACATCTAATTCATTCTCTTCATCCTCATCCTCATTCAACACACAGTCAGCAAGCTCTTCTAAAATAGAATCTGCAGGGAGTTCAGAACCCTCCCAGATCACAGACATTCCCTCAGGCTTGAACCTCCGGGTTGTCGGGACGAGCATCAAGTCAAGCGTTTCAACTGTATCGGGAACAAATACAGGCAATGAAAATGTTGCACGTTCCTCTTCGTTCTCCCAGAGTAATGGATCTTCAAGATTTTCCTCCACCTCGAATATATCCAGAGGTTCGACGAAGGAATCCAGTGAACCTTTAACCGATCTGGAACTAGAGGCTCTCTCAGCTCTGGCTCAAGTCAATACGGGGATTGGATCCAATGACCAGATCACAAGAACTAACACTAGAAGTACATTTCGATCGAGGTCTAGATCTTCGTTTTCTAGATCGAGAAATTAGTTTGTAATTACAATGATATTCCTTTTGCCATATATCTTATCTCTTGCATTTAATAGTTTTTTTTTAAGATTTGAATGATTATATCATTCGCTTGTCATGGCCATCGTTTTATACAAGAAACAAGTGAAATGCTATAAGATAACATGATTTATACGTTATGTATTAACATTAGCATTGTATTGTTGATATATATCTCTCTGCATTGTATAATATTTGACAGTATTAAAACATTTGCCATAAAACGAGTTTCACTAATTGCCCTTCAGTATATATATATATACAAGCGTTTCTATTTACCTGTTTGTCTGTCTGCATACTCACCCACGCACACACACGCACGCACGCACACACACAACACACACACACACACACACACACACACACACACACACACACACACACACACACACACACACACACACACACACACACACACACACACACACACACACACACAACACACACACACACACACACACACACACACACACACACACACACACACACACACACACACACACACACACACATATATATATATATATATATATATATATATATATATATATATATATATATATATAATATATATATATATATATATATATATATATATATATATATTATATATATATATATATATATATATATATATATATATGTGTGTGTATATATATATATATATATATATATATATATATATATATATATATATATATATATATATATATATATATATATATATATATATATATATATATATATATATAATATATATATATATATATATTATATATATATATATATATATATATATATATATATATATATATATATATATATATATATATATGAAGTAAGGAAATCGGCTCGCGAAAATGATACATGAAACTGAAACACAACGGACAATCTTCGTGTCTGTAAAACTGTTGCAAAGAAATGTCGTGAGAATTTGAAAAGAAAAATACTTACAGTAACGACGACGGAAAAGGAGAGCGAGAGAGATACTGAGAAAGAGGGATTAAGATATCCTCCTCCTCTTTATTATCTTTATCACTTCCGTTCGTTATTGCATTCGGCACTGTTCATAGTATTTTACTATCACCATAATCACTATTATGATCAGAGTAATCGTTTTCATTATTACTTATTCTTTGTGCTGCAGTGATGGTGATGTTATTGAAAATGGCAATGATGATGGAAATCATAATGATAATGGTACTAATGGTAGTAATAATAGCAATAATAATGATAAAAATGATAGTAGTAATAATTGTGATAACAATGATAACATTGGAATAATAATAGTGATAATAATAATGAGAAGAACGAAGATAATGATAATTATAAAGATAATAATTATAATGATAATAATAACAATGATAATGATGATAATGATAATAATAATAATAGTAATAATGATGATGATAATCGTAATAATAATGATGATAGTCGTAGTAATAATGATAATAATAATAACAATAATAGTGATGAAAATAAATGTAATAATTATGATAATGATAAAGATAATGTTGATGATAAGAATAATGATAATAATATCAATATGAATAACAATGATAATAGGAATAACAATGATGACAATAACAATAATGAGATTGATAATGGTAACAAAAATAACAATCGCAATAATGATAATAATAAAAATAATGACAATAATAATAGTAATAGTAATGATAATTACAATATAATTATGATGAAAATAAAGTGATAATGATAATGGCAATAGTAAGTAATGATAATAATGGTAATAGTAACAATAGAAATAATAAAAATAACAATAGTAGTAGTAATAATAATAATGATAGTAATGGCAATAATACTAGTAGTAACTTTAGTTAATGATGGTGATGATGATGATAATGATAATGAAGACAATAGTAATAATTAAGATAATAGTAATGGTAGCAATTATGTTAACAGTAAACAACAACAACAATAGTAATAATGAAAAAAATGATGATGGCAATAGCATTTATTGTCACTATTATCATTATCAGCATTATCTCTCATGTTTTCCTCATTATCATAATCATCAATCTTATTGTTATTAATTATGATCATTATTATTGTGGCTATTATTGTTAACATTATTATTCAATATCATTATTTTATTATTATAACTATTACTGTTATTTTATCATTGCTGTTATCATTATTATATTGGATATTATTACTATTATTGTGATTATTACTACTATTATTATTATTGTTATTATTATTATTATTATTACCATTAGCATTATCGTCATCATTATTATTATTACTGTTAGTATTATCATTATCATTAGTATTATTTTTGTTATTATCATTATTATTATTACTATTAGTAGTAGTAGTAGCAGTAGTAGTAGTAGTAGTATTGCCATCATCAGCATTATTATCATCATTGCTCCTATTATTGTTATTTTTATCATTATTAGTATCAGTATTATTGCTATTATCATCATTTCCCATTATTAACATTTCTGATATTATCATTATCATTATTTTTATTGTCATCATTATCCTTATCACCACTTTTATACTTATAATTATCGCTATTAGTGTCATCACTATAAATATTATCATTGATATTATCATTATCACCATAATCATTGACATTATAATCATTATAACCATTATCATAACTATTATTACAATCATTATTGTTAATATCATCATCATTGTTGTTATGTTCATTGTTATAATCAGTATTATCATTACTACTTCTATTATTTCCATTATTATTGTTATTGCTATTATTAGTATTATTATTATCATTATTATCAATCCTATTATTGTTATCATCATCATCATCATCATCATTATTAAGCTCATATTTATCACTGTTGCAACGACAGCATCAATAAAAATAGCGGTAATTATTATTACAACTTCAGAGATTTAACAGGACAAGGAGCATTATAAAGATTTCGACAAACAATGCTATCAAAATCATGGTAGATACCAACCCAATTATTTCTAGATTTTAAGAAGACTTGTCCAGTTAGAGTAAAATCTGGTATAGGAAAGTCCAGCTGGATCTTACACGCTAGACTACAGTGGTCGGAAGAACCTATTGGCGCGATGGAGTCTATATCAACTACCCCTCTCACATCAGTTAGTACAAGATCCAAAAGATTACAACTCCTGTGAGTTGACCCACGGACTAATTGTTCACACCCAACTACATCTGCGAAATCTAAGGCAAAAATGCCATGTCGGTCAGTTGGGGACACAGAATTCAGCCAGTCTCGGTGGTGAGCATTAAAATCACCCATGGATATAAAGAATGATTTAGTATTATTCCCTTTAATAATCATAAATGCTGTCATTGGAGTTGGGGCTTCTATGAAGACAAAAAAGTGGAAATTATCAAAACGACTGCACACTCTCGCAACCATGTATTCGTAACAACCACATTCATACTTTGTAAAACGACTGGCATTAAAACCAACGACTAGCATTGAAATATAAACACAAACCTTAGGCTCGAGGCACAGAATTCCTACGTAGCAACAACGGTTTATTAGAATTGGGTAAAAACAGCTTTGATATGTGCCTCATGTCTGAAACCAGTGTTTCAACACAATAATGTCAAATTTAGTCGAGATAACTGCAAGTTAATTCAATTTCCGACGAAGTCCACGAACATTACTAAAAAGTAAATTACAATACTTTGGACGGCAAGGACCAGGATTCAGCTCAACATCACCAGACAACAAAACAACAATTCCACATAAAAATAACATAACATAAATTAGAGAAAGAACTCAATTATGAAAAAGAAAGCAAGAAAAAACATTCTTAGCACCCCCCTGACCACTGAAGGCCTGCTGGGGACTGGGGGCCATGGCTAAATGGACATTCATGATTGTAATAAGAAAAGAGAAAGTAAAAAAGAAAATGTGAAAAAGTAAAGAAAACCAGAACTGCAGGGATGTGCTTTCCTGCAATAGGGAGGTGGCTAAATTCAGGAATGTTGGGCACACAACTATCGCTACAATTCAGAGCTCAAGCATTGCTCTTTATCATTATTATTATCATTGTTATTGTTATTATTTTTATCACTGATATTGTTATCATTATCATTATCATCTTTATTATTTTTATTACTATAGCTATTTTCATTATTATTATATTTACCTCTGCCAAAGAAGTTACATTATTGGAAGTGTTGGTTTAATTTATTTGTTTGTTGGTGAGCACGATAACTCAAAACGTTAAGAACAGATTTTTATGTTGTTTACTAGCTGCGTGTCTGAGCCCAAATTAGAAGCCATTTAATTTTAATAGTGATTCGGATCATGACCCAGGACTTTTAACGATTGCATCAGTTATTATTATCCTTAGCAGGCAACATTTTGGCGCTTGAATCCTTATTATTTTCTTACTGCTATGGCGGAGTATGCGCTAAGTGCTTCTAATCATCATGCAATGCAATAATCTTCATGTGATCAATTAGTCATGGTCTGTTCATAAGAAAAAAATAAGTTAATTATAACACTGACAAACTAGAATCACTCTTCTATTTCGTCGACTTTATAATACGGAACGGATAAAAATCTCCAGCCTTGATTCCAACGGTAGCCATGTCTTCTCTACGGGAAGACTACATTTCCTTGTTCCGAAGAGTTAGCTATAAATGGAATGGTCGATATCTCGTCAAAAGGTTTAAACTCTAGTTTGTATGTTGATGAACCAACTGTTTGGTATTCAGTATCATTGTATAGCAACGGCAGAGAGGGTCTTTGATCATGTATCCGACTGCGCTTGACGACAAGGGTTTCTGACTTTATACTCCCCGAGGCATTCGTGGATTTCGTCCGCTAATGAAAAAAAGCAACGTCATTTTATTTCTCTCCCTCGTTGCCTGTCTGTCTGCTTCTCTTTCTCGCTGACTGTCTGTCTGCATGTCTGTTGTTTGTTTCGGTCTCTGACCCAGTCTTTCTCTCTATCTGTCTCTCTGTCTGTGTCTGTCTGTCTGTCTGTCTCTGTCTCTCTCTCTCTCTCTCTCTCTCTCTCTCTCTCTCTCTCTCTCTCTCTCTCTCTCTCTCTGTCTCTGTGTGTGTGTGTGCGTGTGTGTGTGTGTGTGTGTGTGTGTGTATGTATGTGTATATATACATATGTAAAACTGCAAATGCGATCATTGCAAAAAAAAAAAAAAAAAAAAAGAAGAGAGGTATTTATATGACGTTAATTCTAGTTAATTTAATTATACCCGGTAAGCAGCTAATTTTTT